AAAAGAAAAGAAAAGAAAAACCAAAATTCGTATCTCTCTAACACCAGACTTTGCACACTCTGGAGCACCAGCAGAGTCCTATCTGCAGAATCATCCATGAGAGACTGGCTCCCTCCCAAAACTATTTTAGCTAGCTTAGCTTTCTATAGCATATTCTGAACACACACACACACACACACACACACACACACACACACACACACACACACAATGTTCAAATATAAAATTAAAATATCAGGCCCACTGAGATGGCTTAGTGGGTAAGGACACTTGTCATGCAAGCCTGGAGACCTGAGTTCAAACCTTGGGACCCACATAAAGGTGGAAGGAGAGAACTCACTACGCTAAGTTGTCCTCTAACCTCCAAGTGTGTGCCATGGTACTTAGTGTACATATTCATACACCATGGACTACACATGAGTGTGAACACACAATGATGATAAGTAATTTTAAAAACTAGATTTACTTTTTTCCTTCTACTGATCCGCCTCTCCCTCTAGTCTTAGATGCTGGTCATGTAAGTACTGTAATAAACACACGAAGAGAAAGAACCAATATTGATAAAAACAGCAACAACAACAATAAAACCAGCTAGAGTGCCTTTTCATGCATGTTATCACACTAGCTTCAGTTAGAGAATATATGATAGCATGATATATAAAATGCATTACATATGATATTTAATTTTCATACATCCTCAGTTTAAAGATCTGAAATGTAAACCGTAGAAAATTGGAGTTATGTTGGGTATAGCACATACTTTTTTCTTCTTCTGATTGAAAACAAATTTTTTCATATAATACATTTTGATCCTGGTTTCCCCTCCCTCATAATCCATGCATTCACAACCCATAAATCTGTAAGAATTTACATCAAGCTGATAATTGGGTTTATGCAAAGATACTGATACTGGCTTGTGGGTGGATGATCTTTATCCCTTCTTTTAATGTAATTCTGTCATTCGATTTCTTTTGTAGTAAAACCTAGGTTACTTACAAACAAAATCAAGATTTAGGACAAGAGAACTAGCACAGGGTTTAAAATGAACTGTGATATCAGATAACACAGAACAAGGAGACCTTAGATATACTCAACGGCAAAATTGGTAATAAAAATAGTACTTCCTTCAGTGGGTTTGTGAAGATTAAACTGGATCAGTGGTATAGCACCTCCTGTACTCAGCAATCATGAAACTACAAAGTTCCAGCTCCAGTTTCACCCAGCAGGGCAAGGTACTTGCAGAAATACAAAGCCTGTGACTGCCCCTGCTGTGCAAGCAATGACATAGCTGAGTGACAGAGCCCTCTATCTCAAATGGACACACAGAAAATAAGTTCATAGTTCCAATCATATTCAAGGAAATCTCCAAGTACACAAGCTTTAATAGTATTAAATATAAGCCAGGCAGTGGTGGCACATACCTTTAACCCAGCACTCAGGAGGCAGAGACAGGTGGATCGCTTTGAGTTTGAGGCCAGCCTCGTCTAAAGAGGGAGTTCCAGGACAACCAGGGACACACAGAGAAACTCTGTCTCAAAATCTGCTTCTCCCAAGAGAGTATTAAATATCTATTAAAATCTTATCTTCTTTAAAAGGATAATCTAAATGAGTGAATTTTATAGATATGAATTATATTTTAATGAATATACAAATCATTTTAGGTTGTGATATTGATCTAACAGAGGTGGCCTTAAGAATATTTCAAAGTGTCTCATGGTGGTGGTAGCACATGCTTTTAATCTCAGCACTCAGGAGGCAGAGACAGATGGATCTCTGTGAGTTCGAGGCCAGACTGGCCTACAGAGTGAGTTCCAGGACAGACTCCAAAGTTACAGAGAAACCTGTCTTGAAAAACAAACAAACAAACAAAAGAATATTTCAAAGCACAATGTGTTGATGCAGGCAGAAACTAACATTGCACAGGGGATTTCTAAACTAGCTGGTTTGAGTTGTATGAAATTGAATTGGGTTCATAAAGTTACTGAATTGCTTGGAGACTCATTTTAAAGTGTAATTAATAAAATGGTGTTCACACAGAATTTGCAAATATTAAATACTATGACTGAAATTTTTTTAAAAAAGAAGAATTCTGGGGGCCAGCTAGGAGGCTTAGTGGGTAAAGGTGCCAAGTCTGATGACCTGAGTTCAATTCCTGGGATCACATTGTAGATCAGGAGAGAACTAACTCTGGCAAGTTGTCTTGTGTGCTTCAGAGGATCTCTGTTCTGAGTGAACTCCCACCTGAAGCAAATAAGTGTAAAGAAGATGAAAATAATGAATTTTTTATTTCTTCTGATAAACCATTGAGAGAAGATTATCTTTGTTTTGGGGCAAGAGGGGGGAAAATACCTGTTTCTTTCTTGATGTAGCATGAATGATTTGAAGGGCAATTAAAATTCTAGAAATGGACAGGAGTTGATGGTGCACACCTTTTATCCTAGCACTGGGGAGGCAGAGGTAGGTGGATCTCTGTGAGTTCGAGACCAGCCTGTTTCCAGCACAGGTTCCAATGCTACACAGAGAAACCCTGTCTCGAAAAACCATAAAAGAAAAGGAAAAAAAAAAAAAGGCCAAAACAACTCCCCAAACTCCCCCAAAGCAAGCAAACAAACAAACAAAACCCTTCTAGAAATGTTCTTCATTTCCAGTTTTGCTCCTGCTGATAAGAGCCCCAGCATCTACCTACTGCACTCCCACATCAAGTGCTTCAAGACCTGATGAAACTTGATTTTGACTGTGGTCCATAAGGTGACTATATCCGATGTTAAGAAATCTACATAGGGATGTTCCCCTAATGTCCATGTATTGAAACCTCAGTCCCTAGCCCGTGGTGCTAATTAGGAGCTAGAGTTTTGAGAAGGGAAGTTAGGTCATTGGAAGTGTTTTTTTTTGTTGTTTTTTTTTTGTTTTTTTCCCGAGTCAGGGTTTCTCTGTGGCTTTGGAGGCTGTCCTGGAACTAGCTCTTGCAGACCAGACTGGTTTTAAACTCAGAGTTCTGCCTGCCTCTGCCTCCGGAGTGCTGGGATTAAAGGTGTGCCACCACCGCCCAGCAGAAGTGTGGTTTTGAAGGAGATACTGAGATCCCCTTCCCCTCCCAGTTCCCAGAAGCTGTGAGGTGACCAGCAACTCTGCTACATGTTCTTGCCATGTTTAGCACTAAGGAAGCAGGATAGGAGGATGGTAGGTTCCAGGCCATCCTGGGTTACAGAGCAAAGCCTTGTTTTAAAAAACCAAGGTGGGTGTGGGATGGGGTAGGAAAAAACCCAAATAAATAAATTAAAACAAAACCAAAACCACCTCATGATATATTGTGCTGCCGTAAGCTTGAAGGCAATGTGACCACCCAGCCTTAGTCCGAACCTCTGAACTGTGGGCCAAATAAACACTTATTCTGATAAGCCAATTATCCTCAGCATTTTTTTTCACAGTGAGAAAAGAAAACTAACAGAACACCGGAGTTAGGTAATCTGAGTCAGTGACATAGCGCTGAACTTGCCAGGTTCTGATTGGTAAGTCTGCTCCATACAAATCTTTCTACCTGTGAATGCACAAAAGAGGGAAAAGTGATAAATTAGATCACTTGTTTCCCAAATTAAGATAAACTATACTAGCAGAGACAAACTAAAACTGCTTTGGGCAGGAGACCCAACTTGGCTTTCCTCAACAGAATTCTGAGGTGCAATTTAATCAGTTTATGTAATAGAAGGGATTAGTTTTTCCCAGAAAAATATACTTCAAGAGCCAGCCAGAATATTTTTAAAAGATTTTCTTTTATATGTATAGGTGTTTTGTCTGAATGCCTGTCTGTCTTACCACATACATACAGTGGTTTCTCAAGTCATAATTTCTCTGAGTATCTCTGGCCTCCAGCTGTCCTGGTACTGACTCCATAAACCAGGCTGGCCTCCACCTGCCTCTGCCTTCTGAGTGCTGGGATTAAAGGCATTCCACGCAGCCAACCCAGTCCCCAAACCTCTATGTAGCCCACTCCTCCTGCATTTACTTTCCAAAGCCTGGGATTACAAGTGGTCACTGCTACACCTTGTTTTTTTAGGTGATGATACTCAAACCCAGAATTTCCAGAATGCCAGGCCAGCACTCTGCTTGCTAGCCAGAGATATTAGCATTTAAGAGTTGAATAAAATGAGGCACCCAGACAGTAACGCAAGTGGTTCTCCTTGGCAAAATGAGGGCAGTGGAAGAAGTAGAAATTCTCAGGACATTGGACATATTTTGAAATTAGACAGGATGTATGCATGGTGTGAGAGACTGGGTATGTGAGTTGTGATAAATACTTGTGTTAAAGTTCTGGAGAGGCAGGCATGGAGACCCTTAAAGTTCTCTTCAGGCCTGGTCAAGTTGGTAGGACTTGCTAAAAATCCGACCACTAAGAACAGAAAGAAATCAGGGTGACCCCTCTGCCCAGGCTGCTACATTATGAGGAAAGGGCCAATGGCATTTCCTATCAGCGATTTCCCAAGACAAGACTGTCAAGGACAGATTTCCTTAAGTCTTAGGCAGACCTTAGAGTGTACGGGACCCACTTGGTGTTTTCTAGGATTTTCCATTGCTTTCCCTTCATCCCCCCCCCCCCCCCCCCCCCCCCGCCTCCAAAGCCCAGTTTCTTGGTGGCAGGAAGGTATGGTTCTCCAAGGTTCCCATACATCCGGGCAAAGGAATTCCCTGGAGGATTTGAAAACAGACTCTGGGCAAGAGAACAGGAAGGCAAATGGACTCTTGACATCCATCTCGTGGGATAAGGGTAATGAAGCCTCCAGCTGGCAGACGTTTATAGTCACCTGGAAGTGATCCACTCTGCTACTCCCTCCACGATGTGTCTGGGCTGTCCCCAAACTGGTGAAAAGTCAGCCAAGACAAGGAGGGAAGTCCTTTTACAGTCCCTGGAGCTCCTTGGACAGCCCCCGGGGCTCAACAGCGCAGCGAGGGCGGGAAGACAGCCCCCGGGCCAGCCCACACATCTTCCGAGGGCGCGGGCCTGGAGGAGGCGCCGGCGCCGGCGACGCCTCTCGAGGAAGTTGGCCCTTTAATTATAGAGCCAGTTCCCTGTCGCATCCACCTTCAGCAGCAAGCAGCAGACGCAGTCGGTGTCAATCCTCTGTCCCGGGTACGGCACCGCGGCCATGGGCGGCTCGGCCTCCAGCCAGCTGGACGAGGGCAAGTGCGCCTACATCCGAGGTACGAGCGCCGGGGCTGCAGGGCGGCACAGAGCCGGGGCTAGCCTAGTCACCTTCGGGACAGCGCAGAGCCAGGGTTAACCTGGTCACCTGCGCACCGGTTCCCCCGAGGGAGTGAGGGCTAGCTGGTGACACAGCCTGGCCTCCCGGAGCCGGTGTCCTGTTTCAAGTACGCGCGCGCGACTCGGGTGTGCAGAGGACTCGGGATGGGATGGGATGGGATGGGACGCCCAGGACGCACGGGACAGGCAGGTACTCTCCGGACGGCTGGGGAGGACTCTGTCGTCCCCCATTCCCACACTCTCCACCCCCAACGCGCGCGCCCCTCACCCCTCGCCCCTCGCTCCTCAGGATCTGTTCTTTTCCTGATGGGGAAACATCTCTTGATTGTACTCGGCTCTGAGTGGTTTCTAAATGTGGCCGCAGAGGCTGCTGATGATATCCCCTTGAGTCTAGAGATTTCCTTGGGGGGGATTCCTGGCCTATCGAGGAGAATTTCCCTGTGGGTCATACTGGCTCAGTTTTGTAAAGTGCAGCGCAGGCCACACCTCCCCCGAACTTCACGCCAATTGCAGGGCGATTTCATCAGAAACAGAAAAGATGAAGTCTTTACCTTTTCAGGTTGGATGGTTCCCTTCCTTCCCCAGAGAGGGAGAAAAACAAAAAGAGGAAGCTTGGAGTGTTTTGAAACCGTTGTTAAGATTGTAAATGGGGAGAAACGGTCTTTTTAGGAGATCTTGAGATATGGAGTAGTGACTCAGTAAAGACAGACAGGCAGACAGGCAGAAGAAACCAAAACCAAACTTCAGGAAAGAACAAAAACTGCAGGAAGTCTTGACTCTTTATCTTTCTTTCGGTGTATTTGGCTCCTACCCCACCCACCCCAATCTTACCCTCTGCCACTGATACCCTAGCTAGCTTGTGAATTTAGGGAGTCCCTCTCCTGGCTTCCCAAGTACCTTTAAAAACATGTATTCTGCTCCAAGTTTTTGTTTTTGTTTTTTGTTGTTTTTTTTTGAGACAGGGTTTCTCTGTATTGCTTTGTAGCCTGTCCTGTATATCTTGCTGTATAACTTGTCCTGTATAACTTGCTCTGTATATCAGGCTGGCCTCGAACTCACAGAAATCCACCTGACTCTGCCTCGAGAGTGCTGGGATCAAAGGCGTGCGCCACTACCGCCCAGCTTCTGCTCCAAGTTTTACTGTAACTCTTTAAAAGAAATAGTGAAGTTTTTCTTGATGACGCTTTTCTGGACCTTGAGGTTATGCCTTAATAAAAAGCACTTGTTCATTTCTTTATTCATATTTATTCTCAGTTACGACATTTCAAAAAATATTTTTAAAGGATACCATATGAAGGCACACGAAGGGCAGAGGCTATAATTAATTTTCCAGATTCTTGTTTCTGTACTGCAATGCAGAGAATCACCAGCAACTGACAATGTCAGAGAATAAAATGTAGTCACTTGTCCCTCTATGGAAGAGAGAAACGATAGATGTTTTACTTAGCCAAAGACTAAACCCTCCTTACTCTTAGAATTCTGCTGTTTGCTGTTCTCCCCAGTATTGGGCTCAGAGATGTCACAGAACACTAGCAAGGGGCTTGCAGTCACCTGTGAGCAAAACTGCTTATGGAGTTCATAAGATGTTTCACTGCATAGTTAAAGTGAATGCATAGCCATCTACAGATTATCCGGGACCCCTGGCAAGGTTGGAGATTAGCTTGTTTACAGCTTCAAGGTCAGGACCTTTGTTGTGATTGGTGCAAGCGATGCACTCAAATAAGAAAAAGTGTTGCCCTCTTTATGACAATCAATATGTAACGCACATGCCATGAACATATTTAAGTGACTAAAACTGTAGTCACTACACTCCCTAGTCAGTGTTCTCTCTTCGGAAGGGGCTTTGGAAGAAGGCTTCCATGGTGTGTGTGTGTACTGGAGAGGGAAGGAAAGAGTTAAAAATACCTCCAGGGATAAAGAGTCTGTGTGTCACATGACAGCACTGATCGCTCCAGAAGGAAAAAGAGCCTTGGAAAAAATCCTTGGTGTTGGGAATTGTTTCTGCATGAGCAAATGAAGATCACGGGGCTCTGCTTTCTTGGCAGTTTCAAGGCTTCAGGTCCCTGAAGAAAACCATAACCCTACATTTATCCCTCTGTCCATCCTTTAGCCCATAAATATCCTCAAGTTTTGATTTAATTGTAAGTAAAACAATTGGAGGGTTGAAGGTCAACTTTAAATACAGTTTTATGACCTGTCCCTTATAAAGTGGCCGCAGTGAAACAGATTTGAAAGCTTCTGTTGCTGAGGCAATGACTTTGTTTGAACCTTGGTGTACTTTGCCAGGGCAGTAAAGAACTAGTCTGTAAATCTTAAGTGTGACTAAGTTTGTATCGGTTTGAAGCAGCTGGAGTTCTAGAATCCAACACTCTATAGCACTATCTGTCCTTACTTAGCAAGTGCCATTCAGTCTGTGTGCCTCAAAACTTCCTGGTGGATGTTTTGAAAAGCCTTCATGTCTTAGAATTCAGTCAGTCAGGTAAAGTGATGCCAGGTGTGTCAAGGAATTACTTCATTCCTAAAGGGGGCAGGGTTTTTTGTTTGTCTGTTTGTTTGTTTGTTTATTTTCGAGACAGACCAGGCTGGCCTTGAACTCACAGAGATCTGACTGCCTCTGCCTAAAGGGAGCAGTTTTGAAGATTATCAACACCTTCATGTTCCCTAAAGGATAGATTTCAGGATATCTTAGAGGGCTTCTAATAACTTCCCATGAGACATTTTTATTAATAAGTAGTGTAGAGACTGACTTGTAGTCATGATACTACCTGGTAGCCTTTAGTGATTGTTTTACTATCTGTATAGAACAATTGTATCTTCCTTTAATCAGGGATGAAGCTCATTCAGTCTAGGCATCAGTTGTCAGCCCTAAGATGTTCTTTTTTATGTCATTAAAATTATTTATTATTATTGTGTGTATGATGTGTGAGTATGAGTGTGCCACTGCTTGCCTGCCGAGGTCAGAGGGCAACTGTGTGGAGCTGACTCTCTCCTTTTACTTTTACATGGGTTTCAGATGTTTGAACTCAGGTCACTAGGCTTGCATGGATATGGCTTTACCCACTGAGACATCTTGTTAGCCTTTTTTGTGATATGTATATATATGCATTGTTAAAATAAAACTTTAGATGAAAGAGAAAACACATGTATCATGTATTTTCTTGTTGAAATAATAACTTCATTTCCTTTTTTTGATGCCATAACTCAGTGGGTAGAGGTACTTGCTTGAGGCCTTGAGTTAGATCCTTATAATCTGGGTTTGAGGCTAGCCTGGTCTACAGAGCAAGTTCCAGGATAGGCAGAGCTACATAGAGAAATGCTGTCTTGAAAAACCAAAAGGAAAAGAAAGAAAAGAATCCACTTGAAGAAGGAGAGAACTGACTTCTACACTGTGGTATACATGCTCCCCTCCACAAACAAATAAATGTAATACAAAACTTAAAAGAAGGCCTGGCAAAATGGCTTAGCAGGTAAACATGCCTCTTGCTAAACCTGGTGACCTGAGTTCAATTCCCAGGATTCACATGGTGGAAGGAGAGAGACCACTCCCAAAGAATTTAGCCTTCACACTCTGCTGTGACATTATACGCTCCCACCTCTATAAAGAATAAACAAACGTAGAAAACTGAAAATGCTATTGAATTTTTAAAGAATGAAAAAGAAGACAAATCTGAGTTCCTCCATGTAAGGCGTCCTTAGAGGACTGTAAAAGTCCTGGAAGAAATGGCGTAGCATAAATTTGGTGGATGCATGTGGGCCTGCTACCAGTAAGTAGTTAAAGAAACTGTTCCTGACCTACTTAGAGCCTGAAAGATGGCTTCAGTGCTTAAAGCTGCCTGCCACCAACCTCATGACCTGAGTGGAGGAAATAGTTAAGTGTGTGCTCAAGGAAACTGTTCTTCAGTTGGGTGCAGTGATGTACATGTGTAACGCTAGCACTCAAGAGGTGAAGGCAGGAGCATTACAAGTTCAAAGTCAGTTTCAGCTGAATCACGAGAGGGAGGGAGGGAAGGAGGGAGGGAGGGAGAGAGGGAGGGGGAGAGAGAGAGAGAGAGAGAGAGAGAGAGAGAGAGAGAGAGAGAGAGAGAGATCTTCCTGAGCTCACTGTTACACAGTCAGTGGCAGCCTGAGAAGGGCTCAGTGACTTCTTTGAAATAGTCATCAATGAGTTGATGCCTTTAGTGAGTTCATTTTTAAAGATTTATGTATATGTCTGGGGGCCTTTATGGGTTTGTGTGTACCATATTTGTGTGGGTGCCCCCGGAAGCTGGAAGAGCACAGTAGCTCCCCACTAGAAATGGACTTAGGGGTAGTTGGGAACTGAGCCCAGGTCCTCTGCATGAGCAGTGTACTCTTAACCAACGAGTCATGTCTTAAATTGAAGCAAATAATAGGGCTGGAGTGAAGTTCCCATGGGCAGAGGAAGGGTGAGTGGCTCCTGTTTGAGGTTTGCCCCAAGCTTCATGTTCAGGACCTCTGCACACATTTGTTCATTTCAGTTGTTGGTGAGAGATGGACGTCTGAATGGATCTGATTTATCTTGATAATTATGGCAGTGTAGCCTCAGACTCCAATTTTCTGATTAATAATGACAGTATCTTCATTGAGACAATTCAGATGCAGATTATGACAGTCACTGTCGGAGGCCAACCCAACATCCCTTCCCCATTCCACTTCCTAAAAGAATCCTTCATTTGTTTACTAGATTTAAGTTTCTAGGTGTACTGTTTTTGAGAGACTAGTTCAATTATGGACCCTAAAGACTGGGTGGGATTGTTCTGTGCCCATCACAGTGGTGGGTTCTCCTCGCCAGTGATTATATAAGAGGGAGATTATGATAGAGTGAAGCTCTAGGGGAAGCTACTGGCTTCCAGGAGAGTTTCTTCTCAGGATTCTGTAGTAAGATTGTTTTTTCTCTTTTGGGGGACCTGCCACCCAGCTC